GGAAGCAAGCCTTGCGCCGTGCCTTGCTGCAAGCCTGGCACCAAGTGCAAGCCCGGAAGCAAGCCCTGCAAACCAGCACCCGCACCTCCATCCTCAACGCCTCCGTCCTTGATGCCTCCCTCCTCGAAGCCTCCGACCTCGAACCCTCCGACCTCGAACCCTCCGACCTCAAAGCCTCCGTCCTCGAAGCCTCCATCCTCGACTCCTTCCTCCTTGTCTCCTCCCTCCTCAAAGCCTCTGTCCTCGAAGCCTCCATCCTCGACTCCTTCCTCCTTGTCGCTTCCCTCCTCCAAGCCTCTGTCCTCGAAGCCTCCATCCTCGAAGCCTCTGTCCTCGAAGCCTCCGTCCTCGACTCCTCCCTCCTCAATGCCTTCCTCCTCGAAGCCTCCATCCTCGAAGCCTCTGTCCTCGAAGCCTCCGTCCTCGGCTCCTTCCTCCTTGTCTCCTTCCTCCTTGTCGCCTCCCTCCTCGAAGCCTCCGTTCTCGAAGCCTCCGTCCTCGAAGCCTCCGTCCTCGACTCCTTCCTCCTTGTCTCCTCCCTCCTCAGTGCCTCCCTCCTCGAAGCCTCCCTCCTCGACGCCTCCGTCCTCGAAGCCTCAGTCCTCGACTCCTTCAAGTTCCTCCTCGTCTCCTTCCTCCTTGTCGATGTCTCCGTCCTCTAAGCCTCCGTCCTCGACTCCTTCCTCCTTGTCTCCTCCCTCCTCAATTCCTCCCTCCTCGAAGCCTCTGTCCTCGACTCCTTCCTCCTTGTTTCCTTCCTCATTGTCGCCTCCCTCCTCGATGCCTCTGTCCTCGAAGCCTCCGTCCTCGAAACCTCTGTCCTCGACTCCTTCCTCCTTGTCTCCTCCCTCATCAATGCCTCCCTCCTCGAAGCCTCCGTCCTCTAAGCCTCCATCCTCGACTCCTTCCTCCTCGTCTCCTTCCTCCTTGTCTCCTCCCTCCTTGATGCCTCCCTCCACGATGCCTCCCTCCTCGACGCCTCCCTCCTCAACACCTCCCTCTTCGACACCTCCCTCCTCGACACCTCCCTCCTCGGCACCTCCCTCCTTGACACCTCCCTCCTCGACACCTCCCTCCTCAACGACTCTGTCATCAACTCCTCCCTCCTTGACTCCTCCCTCCTCGATGCCTCCCTCTTCAACACCTCCCTCCTCGACGACTCCTTCCTCGACTCCTTTCTCCTCGTCTCCTTCCTCCTCGTCTCCTTCCTCCTCGACGTCTTCCTCCTCAACACCTCCCTCTTCGACACCTCCTTCGTCGACACCTCCCTCCTGGACGGCTCCGTCATCGACTCCTCCCTCCTCAGCGACTCCCTCCTCGATGCCTCCCTCTTCGACAACTCCCTCCTCGACTCCTCCTTCCTCGACTCCTTCCTCCTCGTCTCCTTCCTCCTCAATGCCTCCCTCCTCACCGCCTTCCTCCTCGACGCCTTTGTCCTCAACACCTCCCTCTTCGACGCCTCCCTCTTCGACACCTCCCTCCTCGACACCCCCCTCCTCAATACCTCCCTCCTCGACACCTCCCTCCTCGACACCTCCCTCCTCGACTCCTCCCTCCTCGATGCCTCCCTCTTCGACGCCTCCCTCCTCGACTCCTCCTTCCTCGACTCCTCCCTCCTCGACAATGCCTCCCTCCTCGGCCGAAGAAACTTATGATCCGAAAGCACATTGGGGTATCGCTAAACCTAAAGGCTTGCTCTTTGACGCAGGTGATGGTTCTAACTTTATCATGAACGGGTGGAACACCCGTGACATCATGTACCTTGCCCGAACCACTACAGGTCGTGCCAAAGTCACGAGGCTCTTCACCCAAGCTCGGTGTATGGGACTGACTGTTGTACGAATGATGGTCTGCAATGATGGATGGAATCGCAAGATTCAGAAAAATCCTGATACCTTTGACGAGACTGTCCTGGAAGCTTTGGACTGGGTCATGGAGGAGTCCAGGAAATTTGGAATCCGCTTGGTTCTGGCATTAGCCGGAAATTGGGAGAGCAAGGAGGATTACACAAATTGGTACATTAAGAGGAGCGGCAATAACCAGACTATACCAGATGACTTCTTCCGTATTGAGGACATGAAGGACTGGTACAAGGCACTGGTGACGAAGTTGATTACTAGGACGAACACCATCAGTGAGATGCTATACAAGAATGATCCGGCCATTTTTTCCTGGCAGTTGATGAATGAGCCTAGGGCATCGTCCGATATTACTGGCAAGACGGTGCAAGATTGGCTTCGTGAGATGGCAACTTTCATAAAGAGCTTGGACTCTAAGCATATGGTGTCATCTGGCGTGGAGGGCTTTTACGGACCGTCTGATCCTTCTCGCTACCCTATCAATCCAGGCAGCTGGGCAGACAAGACGGGTAATGACTTCATCTCAGAGGGGAACATCCCCAACATCGACTATCTGACCGTGCATCTCTATCCTCAACTCTGGAAAGGTTATAACAAACCCTTTACGACCTTGCTTAACTTCACGAGCACGTGGATTCAGGGGCATGTTCAAGACGGTGTGAACAAGTTGAAGAAGCCTATGGTGCTTGAGGAGTTTGGGTGGCAGTGCGAAAATACGACTTGCTTCGAGGCAAAGAATGTTTTTTTTGAAAGGGTTTTCGATGATACTTTAAAGGCTGCAAACAGAAAAGAGACGGCTGGGACAATGTTCTGGGCCTTGGAAGACCCCTCTGCAGACTCTTCTCAATGGGGTGTTTGGTATGAGAGGGATATAGATACTACCGTTAAACTTATATCTGACCATTCCTTCCAAATCAATATGGTGATAAAGTCACTTAATTAGAGCAAGTGCTGATTTTTGTAGCCTCTTGGTCACATGGTTGCATATCGGCTATGTTATTGTCAATCGTTCTTGAGTTCATCTTCATCCACATCCCAGACGGAGTGGATCAGTTGCTGCGCGCCCAACCTGCTCGGGTAGGGGCAAGTATGGTAGTTGTTGTCCATATTCTCCTTATAGATGTTAAATCTGGGATGAACGGTGGTGAGGATGGCTTCATTGCCAGGGAAGAATGAAGTAGAGTTGTGTACGTTTGTACTGGACTTTGTAAGCGAGGTGACAAGGGTCTCCCACACCTCCACTTTATTCAGTGGTGACAGTGGCCAGTGGGATCTCCCTTTTGTTCAACGAAATTTTCTATTCCTTCAATAGGGTTTTCGCTTTGTTCAGTAGGATCTTCACTCTGTTCGGTGGGTCCTCTACTCTGTTCAGCGGGATCTTCCTCTGACTAGTTAGTTGAAGGAATTTGATTGACGTTTATTTCTATATTTTGAAGACGGTGAAAGGATTGATGGAGCAGAAGACTTAGTGCGATAGTGATCCTATTCCCGTTGAAGTTGAGCGAGGAATACGAGTTATTGTATTGGAATAAAATTTTCCCAAACGCTCGTAGGGAGACATGTTGTTACTCCTATTTAGCTTTTTGAAAATCGGTCCAATGCGGCGCGAGAGCAAATGTTTGACATTTAATGAAGTATTAATTAAATTATTATGTTTAATTGTGTATGTTTCTAGAATTTTCGTTTTCAAATTCTTTGTCGTTTTGTGTCATGGAATCTAGGAGTTCATGGATCGACATCGAGCTGATCAAATTGTTCATTGTCAATTCCTACTTGATAAAAATTTATTTGTCGGTTCATCGTTTGTTTCAATTTTATTGGTACTTCCTTGCTTCAACGTTGTCAGTTATTCCTTTATTTCGATTTCGTCGATCCTTGCTTCATTTTTGTCAGTCATTCCTTCATTTCGATTTCGTCGATCCTTGCTTCATTTCGGTTTCGTCAACCCATGCTTTGTTTTGATTTTGTCCGATCTTCCTTATGAGCTTATGTTGGTCCATCGCTCCTTTTCATTTTGCTGTTGGATGTTGCTTCTTAACTTTATATGAGTAGATGATGAAAATATGAGTGAGTTAGTGTTCTCTCTTCCTGTTCTTCGGCTGAGCTAAGACTCGGTTCATGATTAGGGAAGCGTTTAGTCGACAAAAGTTACTCCTGATCAGAATTGTTGAAGCCTGTAGTTTTTTTACGAAGCCAAACCAAGACTTTCTATCGCTTGGGATTTCCATGCTAAACCTTTGTTCTTCTAGTAATTGTCATTGAGAGTCCCTTCACCTTCTTTTATCGACACTAAAGGATGACGATATGCAACCGCTTTTTTCATTTAGTGAAACCACTTGGCAAAATAGACGGGACGCATTTAACCAATCACAACTTCACAAGCCTTCTACCCGCTCTTAGGGTGCATGCGCATGCACGTGAGTGTGTGTGTGTGTGTGTGTGTGTATGTGTCTGAGAGAGAGAGAGAGAGAGAGAGAGAGAGAGAGAGAGAGAGAGAGAGAGCATAATCTCTTTATTTGATATAAAAGGTGAAGTTCTGGTAGGCGCATTTAAGCGGTTGAAATAGTCGGATGCAATGCGCGCGCGCGGAAGAGAGAGAGAGAGAGAGAGAGAGAGAGAGAGAGAGAGAGAGAGAGAGCATGATTTCTCTTTATTTGATAGAAAATGTAAAGTCTTGGTAGACATATTTAAGCGTTCGATATAACCGGATGCAATTCAACGATTCTTTTGTGATTGGTTGAGTATGGATTCCGCTCCTCTGCACGCAATTTTTTTTTTTAGTGTTTATCGTTCTGTCTAGAAGGCGCACACTCGTCTTTTCATATTCTATACCCTTTCTGTATTTGTAAAGACGTCGACTTTCAACACTTAATGGACCCTCAATAAAGACTGATTTTTATGCTAGTTATGAAACTTGTTTTCCAATGCTTGTTTTTCGTTCAAACGTCTATTCCCTTACTCCGTAGCACAATGCCTTTTTAAGATTCTGAAACAATTAGACTGTTGACCCGTGAATTGCTCGCTTGGGACTCTGGTGAATTGAATCATGTGTTATGTTGGTCGTCCGACCTTTAGCAATATAAAATTGAGCGGCCATATCATTTATCTATCATTATTATTATTTCTTTATTTTTTTTAATT